GGAGTCAGTCTCCTCGAACAGAGTCATTGCATGAGATTCAGCCTCGCAGCTGTCCTCAAAATCAGTTCTCAAGAGGGCATCAGCGACAGTGTTGTGTATCTGACTCGTGGAATAATCGGTTGAATCTTAAATCCTTTGGATGCCTTCTTGAATAACGTCACTCGTGAGGAAGATCCCGCCATGGTACGGGAATTGCATGTTTATATCCAGATGATCGTGATAATGCAGGACAGTGTATGTACGGGGCTTACCGCAGCAGCAAGCCATTGTTTCCCCACCCATCATGGGCCTTCTAACCCTCTTTGCCCTGCTCTCTCTTTTCACTGGTGCAGCCTACGCAGAGCTTCGAGCCCAGGACTTGCGGAGTGGGCGCGCAGTACAATCGCCTTCACTGCTTCTGACATGGGAATCTGCACGCCCAGTCGCCTTTGACTCTATGACTTTTAAAGGTGCCGAGCTGAACTACCCAATCCACGAGAAGGAACTACTCGCTATCATCCGGGCTCTTCGTCGCTGGCGAGCTGACTTGATTGGCTCACCTATTTTCATATACACGGACCACTGGACTCTCAAGAATTTCGAATCACAGAAGGACCTCTCCCACCGTCAGGCTCGCTGGATGGATTTCATGTCACAATTTGATACAAAGATTGTCTATGTCAAGGGAGAGGCCGTTAATACTTTTTATCCCGTCCTCAACGTCCTGCGTAGTCGATTCCCTGCAGAATCGGGCCACTTATGTTACGGTTTATGTCTATTCTGTATTCAAGGAGTGTACGGCGATGGACTCATCAATTCAACCGGAATCGTACAGAATCTAATCGGAGCCTTCAATATATTAAAGAATCGAGTCAACTTGCCAGAATTGTTGCGCTATATGGATTTTATTCAACCCCGTGCAGCGACATAGCCTATTAAGCATCAGAGCGTGAGAGAGCTATCCAGAGATTTTCAAGGCAAGGAAATTTGCGTGGCAGAAGCTATTCCAATTGCATTGTGCGGCATTTCCTGGGTTTTATGTACCTGGCCTCAATCGGCTCTACCATTGGAGGGTCCCACCCACCAACCACCGCATCCAGGAATAATTAAACATTTTCATTCAACGTTTTGAACACCCTCCTCGAGCTCGTTCCACATCGTCCGATCTTTGTTATCCAGTGTCCCCTCATTCCTAGTCCCATTGATATCGTAGAAATGCCGTGACACTCATCTTTCCTCCATAAAGTCTTGATATATTTTCCGCCTTGTTTCGGACTGCAAGATTGTAGATACTTGCCAAGGCACAGGGAGAGCGACCAAAATCTTTGAGGGGCAAGGTAGTGTGGAGGATCATGTCAGTAATCCAATCTGCTGTTCGACTGACCGACTCACTGGAGACTCAGGTTACTGTAGTACCCGTCACTGGTATTCAATATTCAATGCCTACAATTAAAAGAGGGGTGCCAGTTCGAAGCTGCCGCGGCCAAGTTCGTTCAGCGCAATCGTCGGAGTGAATTTAGGGTGGAAGTAAAAGACGAGCAAGGCCATTCGGCCGTTGCCGAGCTCATCAATTTCAAGCGAAAATTCCGACTTCGACGGCCTGTGTATCACTGACTCTGGACATATCGGGAAAAAAAATTCTCGAAAGATACGGTTTACCGACGGATCAGCTGGGTCCACATAACCGTTATGTAGCCACTAACGGCACCATAACCGGTAGGCATTATTCTATCCCTGCAAGATTGAATTAGGGCTCCAAAATATTTACAGAGACACAATACTCCTGTTACTTCCCAAATCTGAAAGGAAAATCTGAACTCCCCAGTACATGGCTATAGGGACCATCAAAATCATCAAAATCGTTCCCTGCCAAAAGGAGCCGTTAAGTGTGATGTGACAGTAACATCACACTTAACAATTTCTCCGCTCCTTCCACCGCTAGGGTATATACCATTGGCGGCACATACATACATTCAGAGTCCCGGCACATTCAGCGCACAGGCGGCACATTGAGTGAATGTGCCATGGGTGAGCCAAAGGCCGGCACATTCCATTTTGGGAATGTGCCGGGCTTGGCACTAATCATTCTGGGAATAGACACGTGTCGTTTTTTCCGATTTTTTTTTGCCCCGCCTCTGTTCCTCCTCCCACTACCACCACCCGTGGCCGCCAACGAGTCAAAAATGCGTCAAAATGTCCGCCGATGGCACTCACAACTCAAAGCATACCGCCGATGATGAGCAGCTCTTCATTGACAGGGTCTCGGCGCGTCGATTGATGGACTTCTGCACCCATGTACGTGTTGCTGTGACGCGCCTTACCTACCTAATGAACTCCCGGATAGATGTATACACCAGGTTTCCTCGTCTCTAACGGTCTCGGTTCCTCGACCACGAGTGGGTTGATCTTCCGGCGCTGAAGTACTTCCTGGGGATACCCGCCACTTGTGATCCGAACGCCGCCTCAACACGGACAGATCTCAGTGCAGCTGACAGGCGTCTTCTCGATACCATTTCAGTCCGTGAGCTGACCGCTTTCCGTAATCATGTGCGTTCGTTTTCATAGTCCATAAATCATTTTTGACGCATTTGAAAGGTTCATACTGGATTGATGTTACACTTCTGAGTGAGTTTCTTCGCGCGAGCCCAGCTTATCTCCCCTCTAATCCTGTTCACGTCAAAATCGAGGCAAACCCTCCTTTAGTACCTCCTCCCACCCCCGTTTCGGTAAAACTGGAAGTAGGATTGATAGCTATTCTCCCCTCTCACGCGCCTGTCAAGACGCGTACACTGAATGCCGGTGGTCATGAGATCATTGAGCTTCTGTCGGATTCAGAGTCGGACGGCGCAGAATCTGATCTCGAAGTCACGGATGTATTGATGCATGGAGCATCGCGTTCTTCGAGCCCCGTTTCTCAACAGCTCCTTGGGGAAATTGGTGGGTGAATTTATTGACTACGTGCAATTAGAGTGTATTTGCAGTCAAAAAATCGTGAAATCCCAAAAAATGATAAGCGAGTTTCAAGAAATTGATGGAAATTAGAGTGTATTTGCAGTCAAAAAATCGTGAAATCCCAAAAAATGATAAGCGAGTTTCAAGAAATTGATGGAAACGCAGACGTCATTCTCACGATACCAACCATTGACTTTTACACCCACCACGACGTTCCCAGGTGTGAGGATTCAAGAAATTCACGCTGCGAGATGAGCAGCGGACGACGCGTCGAAAAAACGCGGTGTCACAAGGCACGGGGAGTGGCTGAAAAGTAACATCGTCCTAAAACGGTCGACATCTCAAAAAAGTCACACTTGGAGCTCAAGCCTTTTCAAAAAATCCTAAGCGCGTTTCATTGAAAAAAAAAGTCGATTTTTGGGGCTGCAAATACACACTATTGTTGGCTTATTTTATCATTAGGTTCGGACGATGAGACAGCCATCTCATCAGGTCCTTTCCAACCATGTTCTGGTGCGTAATTCTGGCTCATACGATGAATTGACTCCTAATCATCATTGGACGACGGTCATTCGGATGATCATGAGTCGCTCCCGGCGGAAAAGTTTCCGCTGGTAGAATCCAACACGCACTGGGAGGATGGTGTGACATCCATGGTGCGCATCGGGTCTTTCCGCATCACCAGAAAAGTGAAGGTCAAACAGATTGAGTACGTTACTGGTGCTCCATCAATCCTCGCCATCTTCTGTACCCCCACCGCCATCGTCATTGATCTCAGTGACCCCGACTATGCGATCATTTACCCCAAAACCGGTAAAGTCTGGGCACTTGATGGCGTAGTTTGCGATATTGTAAGTGCGACTGTTCACCAAACAATTGTCTCTGACTTTCTCACTCCTGGACAAACGAGGGCAGTGGTGGCGGTGCCTGGGGAGCCTCTTATTCAATGCCGCCGTTCTGGTTCCACTTGCTTGCGGCGCAAAGAAATCTAAAAAGGTGGGCCCGAATCATTCTGCAGATGTCGTCAATGCTAATGTCAATTCCCCAGTGATCGGTATTTATATAGATTCTTATACACCCATATGTTGTTACAATCCTATGACTTTTATGCGCCGTCTGTCTGCCTTAGTACATTTATTGCACATCTAGCTGCGTGGTGAGCATGGAGTGGCAGTGCAAGAGGGATCAATTCTGAATTGATGGCACCATCGTTCAACGGATGCGGCGGAGGACTGAATGTGCCGGCCATGCGCTGAGGGGTGGAACATTCGGGGGAATGTACCGGCTGCAGGCGCGAATGTGCCGCCGGTAGGCTGAATGTGCCGGGCACTTGAATGTATGTAAGTGCCGGGTTTGGTCTATCCCGCCACCGCTACTGGGTGTAGCTCTATCCTGTGCTGTATCATACTGGCTAGAAAGACACTCAAAACACGAAAATTGGCACTTGACACACATTGAATGCCCAGGTTCTCCATTTACGCTCTGGAGGTCTCTTCTGTCTCGTCAATCATGGATATTCTTTCAGTTAATTACCCTGGGCTCAGAGCATCGACTCCAGCACTCAATAAATTCTGTGTCCTTCTATTGTGATCTTTGCAGGAAATTTAACTGCGCGTGCATGGTCTCACGGAGTCTCGCGGTTTCTGTACCTAGTACGAAGCTCGGTGGAACGGTCAACTGGTGTGGCCATCCTTATCCCTGCGGAATCCCGACCATTGTGAAATGGTGTGTCCCAGTCCCTCATGTCCGTCTTCTCGTGCTTTATTTATTCTATTACCACTTGTATAATTCTTCAATAGATTTTTTCATGCTGTTCTTACATTGTGAAAACCTGTACATTATTTGATTTTTCATCCAGAGGAATTGAACAGAATTGTAAGGAGAAAGCATTCTAAACTCAGAAATGCTGGGGATGTTCTCCTCGAAGTTCAATGAAATTCTCGCAATCCTTCCTTTTTCGATTTCTTTTTCGCGATTTTCCCCTTTCGGCGACCCAGTAGAACCATCGGAAAACCAAAGATACCGTTGAATGGAGAAGGGCGAAAAAAAAGGGGGTGACAACAAATCCATGGCCTGGCCTTGATTCGAACAAGGGACACCCCAAATACTTGTATCATCACGGGTCAATGAAGAGGGAGGTGTTGCCGCTACACCACCAGACCATTATGTCCTCCCATTCCAACATCTTGACATACCTGCCTACCTACCTGCCCACCGAAACCTGAACCCTGGGCATCGATCAATTATATTTCAGAAGCCAACCTCGGCTGTACAGTATCATCTTTGGTCCATTAAGTAAAACCCGTGCGTAAACCTGTGCATAAACGATGGATGACGCTCAGTTTTTTCAAATTTAAAAGATATGCGGAAGATAAATAAAAAAAAGGAGAGAAAAAGAAAAACCACGCTCCCAGGTTATGGCCTGACCTTGATTCGAACAAGGGACATCCCACTACTTGTATCATGACGGGTCAATGAAGAGGAAGGTGTTACCACTACACCACCAAGCCATGATCTCTAATAATCCTTGGAGGTGTACATGCGCCGTTCACAGTATGGCTAGGCTATTCGGATTTCAGGGGATTGATTGATTTTTGCAATTCAACATTCGTTTGACTCCAAGTTGTTCAACCATGATGGAAGTCAACTTCCTCGGTACTAGCCAAATCTGGACTGGAGCTCGAGGGGAAAATTCACCAAATTCAGCGGATATCACTATTCCTGTGAAAACTTAACCCAGACCCTGTCTAAACTCAATAGATAATAGTAGATAACCAGTTCGTGCGGAATCGGTGAATTGAAGTTTGAACTCGTCGTTCGTTTGTCACTTGCGAGCCGTTTCCAAGAAAAAAAGGATGAGAGCCATCCACTATTTACCACCTCATTATAACATTTATTTACTTACCGAGATTCGCAACAATGGCCCGGTTCGCAAGCGGCTTGAGTGAAGTCCGCATTGACAAGATCCGATAATCGGCACAACCGTGACGCTGGGACTCGGAACTGCAGCGAAAACCGCGCAAATGGTTGTATGCGGCTCTTGCCAAGACGTGAAGATAGAATAGATAGATAGCCTCGAAGCCTGCGCACGGATCTCGGACTCGCGGCACCGTCCTTTTGATTGGAGTCATGGATTGGAGTTAGGGATGGGCTATGGCGTAGCGTGGGCGTAGCGTATCGCAGAATGCACGCAACGCAAACACAGAAATCTTGAGCCGTTTGAGATGCAGTGTACATGTACGAATTAATATTGGGGTTCGACAGGGAGCATGACTGCGCCAGTGTGCCTGGATCTCGGACACTTCGGGTGTCTTCGCATGCACAAATTCGGGTCAACGTATCGCAGAATATTGAAGTTCGAAGCTGGTTAAAAGATAGAATTCAATGTAGACTATGGCAAAATTACAGGCCTTTTATACCTATGAGAAATATATTCTAGAATGTTCAGTTAAGTTCAAGTAAGTACGAAATAGAATGTGGAAGAATATTCGAGGTGCATCAGGCGGATCATGATTTGTAATCACCTCGGTGATGGCTCGGGGTTTGTAATCTCAACACTCCCCCTCAAACTCGAGTCATCCCGAGTTTGCGCACTTGTTCCTCATGTTGAATTCGTGGCAGCGGCTTTGTGAATATGTCGGCTAAGTTCTCCTCAGATGCGCAGTGGTGAACTGATACCTCGTTAGAAGCAACGGTGTCACGGATGAAGTGGTGACGAATATCGATATGTTTTGAGCGAGCGTGATAGCCGGCGTTCAAGGTGAAATCAATGGCGCTGCGATTATCAACAAAAATGGGAGTTGGCGAGGAAGGGGTAAGGTCGAGTTCTGTGAACAATGACCGTAACCAAAGATTCTCGCGTGTCGCGTGAGAAAGGGCAATATACTCGGCTTCCATAGTTGATAGAGCCACAGTGGCTTGTTTCTTGGAAGACCAAGTTGTTGCTCCCCCTGAAAGCATGGAGACGTAGCCGGAAATTGATTTGCGGTCCACGAGGGAATTTCCCCAATCGGCATCAGTGAACAATTTCAGCTGTGAAGAATCCGAGTCTGCCGAGGCTTTGTAGGTGATACCGAGGTTTGTCGTACCTCGTAGGTAGCGGTAGACTCGTTTGACTGCCGTGAGATGGATAGGTCCGGGATTGGTGTTGAACTGTGACAGAGTTTGCACTGCATAAGCGATGTCCGGGCGCGTCATGATTGCGGCGTAGAGCAGTTCACCGGTCATTGATTGATATTCACGGTTGATTTCGGGGTAGGTGGTGCTGGGAGGAAGCTTCTCAAGCTTCACGTTCGGATCCATGGGTGATGCGACAGGATTACAATCCTCCATACCACGATGAGCAAGAATTTTCTGAATGTAATTGGTTTGGGTGATGGTGATGGTACCGTGTTCGCGGTCACGGTGGATTTCCATACCCAAGAGTTGTTTGGCATCGCCAAGTCGAGTGATCTCGAATGCAGATTCAAGTTGATCTTCCGTGCGGGTGATAAGCGCGGGGTTGGAGGCGTAGATGGACATGTCATCCACGTGGACAGCTACAATAATGATGTCGCTGTTTTCGCGCCGAACATAGACACAGCGATCAGAGAGTAGGCGTGTGAAGCCAATAGTCTTGAACTGTGCGTCCAGAGTCTCGTTCCAACACGGCCAGACTGCTTCAGACCGTAAAGTGTTTTGTGCAGTCGTAGTACATGGCTAGTGCCGTCCGAGAAGCCTTCGGGTTGCTTCATGTAAATTTCCTCCTTGAGCTCGCCATTGAGGTAAGCCCCTTTGACGTCCACAGTGCGCACTTCCAAGTTGTACTTGGCTGCGAGTGCGAGTAGAAGTCGGTTTGTTTCGGCACGAACAACTGGGGAAGAGATCTGATCTGGGTTGTAATCAGTCCCGGGGATCTCCGTGTTCCCTAAAATGACAAGCCGGGCTTTACGCCGTGCGATGATACCGGTCTCGTCATGCTTGTTTCTGTACACCCATTTGTTTCCCAACGCCTTTCGTCCCTCTGGTAAGTCTGTTATGCTGAATGTGCCCAGATCACTGAGCTGTTTTAGTTCTTCTTCCATGGCTTTCCTCCAGTCCTCGGCATGCGGGTGCGCGGTAGCCTGACGATATGTGCTGGGCTCCACATCAACAGCAATGTTAGCGATGTCGGAATCGGGTACGCGATGACGCCAAGCGTCTGGTTTCGCAGGGGACTGATTGGAGGGATTGCGGAGAGTGCGGTAGTAGGTGTCCGCATCATAGACTTTAGGTCCTTGTGTGGCTTGTCGTGGCTCACGGGGTTCACGTGGGGCATGAGCAGAATATTGCGCTTTGGTTTTGGCTCTGGCGCGGGTAATCTGTCGGGTTCGGTGACGGCGGATGGTGGATCTGAGATGATTGGCGCAGGTGCTTGTGATACTGAGGTCTGCGGTTGTGGCTGACTTGATGCAGGCTCGCTCACTGGTTCTCTCTCCCCTCGAGCCGTATTGGGTCAGTCGGGACCGCGGGTTGAGAGGTATAATCACCAGAAGGTGTTTCGAAAATGATATTGCGTGAGGTAAGCACTTTGCGTGTTTTCGGGACGTGATAATGCCATGCACGTGCATCCTCCGAGAGTCCAACAAAGTGGTAAGGTTTCGATTTTGCCGCTATTTTGGACTGGTTCTGACCCTGTAACAATACCAGCAGGTAGTCCCGAACTCCTGCATGCGAGATACGTCGGGTCTTTCACCCCAGAAAGCCTCGTGCGGTGTAATGTTCGCTTTAGCGATGCCGAAGGCGAGCGGTTAATGATGTAAGTGGCGTAAATGACTGCCTGCGGCCATAGAAAGTCTGGTAGGCCATGTGCAATGAGCATAGCGCGTGCACGCTCGAGAATTGTGCGATTGAGGCGTTCGGATACGCCATTCTGCTGCGGTGAGTATGGTGCTGTGGGTTCAATTTGGATCCCTTTTGCAGCCAGCTGATCCCGCAATGATTTGGCTAGATATTCACCTCCACCATCGAAACGAAAGGCTTTACAGCGCTTTCCCGTTTGAGTGAGTATAAATTCCGTGTAATCCATCACATGTTGCTCGGCCTCTGATTTCTTCTTCATTGTCACGATCTTTCGGTAGCGCTTCGCGCCATCCGTAAAGGTGATGAAATAGCGTTCCCCGCGGATACCCCGCGTGCGAGAAGGTCCCATACATCAGTGTATGTCATATCACCAATTTCCGTATATTCCCGCTGAGCTTCTTTAGGGAATGATTCGACATGTTGTTTTGCTTGTATGCATGTTGTACATTGCTCGGCAGGTGATGATGAAGGTGAGATTTTCATCCCGGTGACCATGTTCCTGTCCGCTAATTGCTTTACAGCATTGCGACTAAGGTGTGCGAAAATGCGGTGCCACACGTCAAGCGTGCGTTCGGTTGTGGGGAATGCAAGGGAAGTTTCTGCGGGTTTCTGTTGTCCTGGGATGATGGGGGTGACGTTTCTGAGTGCGTAAACGTCTCCGATGTTTTTGCAATGAGCTAATTTGACTCCCCCTTTGGAGGTAATCTCGACATCAAGGGAGTTGTGTGGGAAATAGACACGGTGTCCAGCGCGATGGAACTTTCCGAGGGAAATAAGGTTGTAGGGGGATGAGGGGAGGTACAGTACGCGTTGTAGCGTGACTGTATTCGATTCCGAATTGACTTTGAATTGGAGTTTTACCGTGCCGAACCCTTCGGCTGGTTTAGAACCGATGCCAACAATTTCATGATTGTCCAACGGTGTGTACGACTGGAAAATGAATTTATTGTTCGTGATATGGACACTGGCAGCGCTGTCTAGAAGCCAGGAGTCCTTGGTGAGTCCGCGAGGTTCAGTGGCTGTGAACACAATGTCGGTGTCAGCCTTTTCCTCGGCAACATGGGCTTTCGACGATGTACCGCCACCGCGTTTATTACGCATGTAGCGATCATAATTCCCATCCTTCTCCTTCTGAGTATAGGTCTTGCCGTTCTGCTTGTCGCGGCATTCGTGAATACGATGGCCGGGCCGACCGCAGTGATAGCAAGCATCACGGTGTTTCTGATCGCCGCTTTTGCCCTTGTGTTGTACGGCGGGAAGTGCTGTGTCATCCGAATCGGGTTTGGCATGAGTGCGTCCTGCCTGTTGGAGTATACGGGCGATGATGTCCTCCGAGTCTTTG